AAACATTTTGCCACCGTTTTAAAGATCTTCATTAAGAGTATCTAATATCTAACAAAAACTTAAATCCTACAATATTAAATTTAACTTTGTTGAATGAAATACATTTCCAACCTATATTGCCCTCCATTTTTGGCATGGATACTTTTTATAGATTTGATTTCATTGTCCATGGGAAGTTAAAAGTGCTACAACCCTAAGGGGTAAAACTCTATGCCCATCTATGATTGTCATCTTGTTCATTTAATAAGAAATAATAACAATCATATCATCTTGGGAAGTAACATGAATTGCAGTGAACGTTTTCACCTTTACAGCAGCACAATAGCATCTCCAGAGATTATTTTCCGAGCAAAGCATAATACCCAAAATTGAGTATTATTTAAAGTTTTCAAAAGATATAATTTTATAATGATACAAACATTGTAAGTCCACCAAAATTCAAGATGTATCTTTGCTTTAATTCTGATTACAGAATGTGTAAATTAGTAGAATAAAGAGGGATACATTTTTCTCTTTGGTATAACTTTAATCTTCCAAACTTGCATTTACATACTTTTTTCTTTCTCCCTGGGATAGAATAAAGTGGGAAGGCGAGGTTGGGAAAGAGGGAGCAAACACGACAAAACCAACAACCATTCCAGAAAAGAATGTCTTTCATGATACAGGAGTCCATTAGGGACTCAACAGAGACAACTAAACTAATTACAAGAAGCTAAACAGCACACCTCTCCTAAGGATGACATTCAGTATTGACCTGCTAAGAAGATAAATGCCATTACATTTATTGTCATAAGGGTCAGTGCTTGCCCTGTACTAAAACAATCCAGAATATGTTGGTGCTCTCGGCCTTGCGTCATACCACTGCCTGTATGAGAGCATCGTACTTACAGATGGAAGCCGTCACACTCGGCAATGCAAGCATGCCGAGCCACGAAACGTCTGTGCCACAACTTTTGCATCCTTGTCAATCAAGCTCTAGCTCTTGCTGGGGTAACAAGAAAGAAACTTTTGTCAAATGAATGTAAATCATTGCATGTTTTTTGGAATAGAAAAATAATCAAATTGATTTACTAGCTATGCACAGTGTTCAGAGAAAGGTTGAAAGTGAAGGGTGGTTTTAGTAGGTTGAAGCAGTTGGCTTTTACTGAACTATTCATCTATAATTAAAATAAAAAGTGATCGGCATTATCTATCACAACTTTCTGAGTAGTAATTAACACTAATTCCTGGAAGCATACTGCAGTGAAAAGAAGGCAGAGAAGAAATTCTACAACCCATGTCAGTATAATAATCTCACCCCTGCATGTCCTCTTGTGGCCCGAATAAAAGTGTCTGATTCATACCAGCAGAGTTGGCGCCAGCTGTGTGCACGTTTCTGCTATTCTTATTGTTACATGTTTAAGTACTTAGGAGACATCAAGAGGAAACCGATGGAAAGTTCTCCCTGATGGCAAATTCATGGTCTTGAGAAACAATGTTGATAGGCTTGGACAGGAATAAACACACGCCTAAAAGCTGTACACTTTGCCATAATTTTGGTACCTGTGCAAATCTAAATGTTTTTTTCTTCTGTCTTCTCCAATGCTGTGCATTATGCTAAATTCAATCCCAAAAATAAACAGCCAAATACCTCAGGTACATGACACATTGACCTATCTTCAGTTCTAAGCTGGCACCGTCCATAGCATAGGACAGATGCAGTCATTCCAGAATCTGCTACCCTGAACACAAATCCCATTAGCAGAGTAATATGAAAACTACAAAGTCCTCATCTCCTAGAGACTGCGTTCAGGATCCTCATTTAACAAGTAACATTTGAATGGCAGATGCAAAATGACAAGGCTTGTCCACGATTTTTTAGAAATAATAGAAGTTCTACTTGATTCTCTATTCAGAAAATAAAGAGGATGTCATTATTACAGACCAATGAAAGAAATTATTTGATTAGGGCAGAATTAGCAACCTGTCAGATATAATTTCATATACAGGACAAAATATTTACAATTAAGCTACAAAATTCACTTTTTGTATTTTATAGTGTAGAGAGGGTGTATATACATTTTCTACTCTCTCTACAGTGTAGAGAGGCTGTATCTACATACATATACATACATAAATAGTCTATTACACTACAGAGAGAGTAGAAACATATAGTGTATATATGTTTGATCAAAGGCCCATAAAACATATAGTGTACATATATGCTCTAGCATTTATGCTGAACAGCAGATTCAAGGGCCTTTGAGAAACATGTAGTGTATATATGTTTCAAAGGCCTGTGACAAATTTACTGCCAAATTCAAAATCTATTTTAATATACACTTAACAGGATTGAATTCACTTTTTTGGTCTTTTCTTCTCATAGCCTCTGACACTTTCAGTAACACTTTAGTAAGTAAGACATGTTTATTTATGCATACGTACATTTATGTGTGTAAATAAATTATCTTAATATATGCATATGTACATTTATATATGCATATGTACACATATTACACATATATGTCTCACTAAACATACATAAGTCTTACATAGTTTACATATATAAATGTACATATGCATATATAAAATGTCTTTATTATTTAATGGTATTTTAAGCATTCTTAAATGTAATTCTATTATTATTCCTGAGAATCATCTGTTAGAACAGTTAACATTTAACATCTTTGTTCCTTCTATGCATAGATATAAGTACACAGTAATGTTGTTTATCAACTATTGTGGGCAATTCTATGAAAGACATGCTTTCTGAATGAGCAATTAAACTTTTTGGACAGTGAAATATTTGTTATTTACTGAATACGTTTCTTAAAATATCTGCTGAGGTGCTTTTATAGGCAAGTCAATTTTCTTGTTATTTCTCTGAGGATAGTTTCTATGGTGTGTGGTGAATGTTATAACAACCCCTCCTTTTCACAATTCATCATGAGAAAAAAAATCCAAAAACATTACAATGGTACATGCACAAAGGAGTTTACTGCAGTATTGATTACTGTGTTTATTGCAGTAATGAACATTTCAAAACCACCTAGATGGTCAATAAGAGAGAGAAATAATTATGACTTATCATATCGAATATACATATAACCTCTACAATATTTTTAAAATACTGATTTAAAAACTGGATGGCAACTGGGAAAAGAAAGATGTTGATGTAACTATCAAGAATAAAAAATGCAATGTAAACATGAATTTTTGTTACATTATGCGAGTGTAGTCAAACACAGCACAATGGCAGTGGAAGTAGCAGATTCATTACCCCTGGTTCTTTTCACAGCTTTATCTCTGTAATTCTTAGTCTATGATACATATAATTAGAACTATTTAAGGGTATCAGGGCATTCATTACTGCGGTATTTTTATGGCACTATCATGACATTTCTTTAGCACTCTTTGGAGCCAAATCTCTATGTCACTGCAATTTTTTCTTCAAATACAATTGGAATACATGAAGTTGTACTTTCCTCTCAGCTCTAGCATTCATGCTGAACAGCAGATCCCTTCTGCTTTGGGAATTCCAACAAATTGCTGCTCTATCCCCCTACCCCCACCTCCCACCCATAGAGATTTGAAAGTATCTGCTAAAAGTAGCTTCCCTCAACACATGCTTGGTACCAGTGTTACTTTTCTTCTGCTGCATAACAAATTTCAGTTTAAAACAACACAAATTTATCATCTCATAATTCCCCAAGGTCAGGTGTCTGGGCCTGGGTTAGCTGGGTCTCTGCACGGGCTCATCTGACTCCAGTTGAGGTGTCTGCTCTTGCTGCCCTCTCTCCCGAGGCTCAGGATCACCTCCCAAGCTCATTCACATTGCTGAAAGACTTCTGTTCTTTGAAGTTCGTATTCAGTCATTCTTGCATCACTATAAAGAAATACCTGAGGCTGAGTAATTGTAAGGAAAGAGGTTTAATTGGCTCATGATTCTGCAGACCGAACAGGAAGCATGGCGCCAGAATCTGCTGGACTTTTTTGTGAGGCCTCAGGAAGCTTACAATCCTGGCAGAAGGTGAAGGGCAAACAGACATGTCACATGGCCAGAGCAGGAGCAAGAGAGAGAAGAGGGAGGTGCCACCCGCTTTTAAATGACCAGCTCTCATGAGAGCTCACTATCATGAGGACAGTACCAGGGGGATGATGCTAAGCAATTCATGAGAAATCCACCCCCATGATCCAATCACCTCCCACCAGGCCCCACCTCCAGCATTCAGGATTCCATTTCAATATGAGATTTGGGCAGACACATATCCGAACTGTATCACAGTTGTAGGACTGAAGTCCTATTTCCTTGTCACCGTGGGGGTCATTTTTAGCTTCCACAGGACCCACAAGGCTCTCTTTTTGCTCTTGAAGTTCAGCAGGAGAAATTCTTTCTAATCCTTTGTAACTTTGTCTTATAAAATATAATGTCATTGGCCAGGCACGGTGGCTCATGCCTGTAACCCCAGCACTTTGGGAGGCTGAGATGGGCAGATCATGAGGTCAGGAGTTCGAGACCAGCCTGACCAACATGGCAAAACTCTGTCTCTACTAAAAATACAAAAAAATTTATCCAGGTGTGGTGATACACACCTGTAGTCCCAGCTACTCAGGAGGCTGAGGCTCCTAAGAATGGTTTGAACCTGGAATGCAGAGGTTGCAGTGAGCTGAGATCATGCCATTGCACTCCAGCCTGGGTGACAGAGCAAGACTTCTTCTCAAAAAAAATAAATAATAAATAAATAAAATAATGTCATCATGAGAGGGACAATGCCAGCACCTGGCTCCTATAAGGTAACCTAATCATCAGATCCATGGAAGGAGGGAGATTGAACATGGCATGTAGACCAGCAGGTGGAAACCTTGGTAGCCATCTCAGAATTCTGTTTACAGTATATCTAACTAGGCTATACACAAGAAATTAAGAAATTTCTGTTTCTTTCTAAGGGAAAGAAATAAATTATTATGTCAGATATAAATCAGAAAATTATGTATTATGGATAGTCTCTTGGTTTCAACAGAGCAAAGAGGAAGAGAAAGAATATTCTTTTATGCAGAGGAGCAAGACCCTCCTATGATTTGTGGGAAGGACGGCATTGCCTCAGTGGAAAAGTAAGTAATGACATATTTCACTTTCCTGTAGGATTTTTTAAATTAATGGCATTAAATTGATAAAGAGCTGATATCTTGGTAAGAAATGAATTGTTATTCTCTCTCCTCAATCAACTGGTCTTGTAATCTGCTTGCATTTCCCCACAGGTTAGTGTTTTTGTTCAGATATATCTCCAGGGTAGCCTCTGCAAAATACGGCAGATGTTACAGTAATTAAGGGTGCACCTAAGCTAAAATGCATTCTGCTTCCTTCAGCTCTACTCTATGCATGATTGTGTTAATATTTCTACAATAGCTTGTGTAGGTGGAAAGCATGCCAAGTTTGTTAGGACCATGAGTACACTCATCAAAGAGGTAGCTCTCTTCTTCCTTCCATTGTGTAAATGAAGTCAGGAAAATGGATAAGTTAACTGCTTTTCTGAGATTTGGTGACTAATCAGCAGTGTAACCAGGATTGTGACTCATCTTCTGGTTATTTGCCTGTGTGCCCATAGCCAACATAAAAATGTGAGCACTACAGGACAAGCTTGAGTTGCAAAAGCAAGCCAAAAAAAATCTCTTTCTCTTACTTTCCCAAATAGCATCTTTTTGGAGAAGCCAGGTAATACCGTAGACTCTTATCCTCAATGAATGTACTGCATCTTTAGACACAAACGCAGACACATGGATGTTTAATGTTCCCAGCTGTCAAATTTACTGGGTTAATATCCATATAGAAACATAGCTTAGCACACCCATTCTAAAAGTGACCGAACAGTTTCTCCTAGCTGATCTCTTTCAAAGACAGCAGACCACATCTCTGCACTCATAAGCACTGCAACATCATCTCGGATAATTGCTTAACTCTCTGTGGGTTTCTAACAAGCACCCTTCAAGCTGAAATACAGCTTTTTAAACTCTTTAAGCTCATCTCTCTGCTAATGGAATCCGCCTAACTCCCTGCTGGGACCGACTAGAAGCAAATAAATATTCTTGGAAGTTATCATTTTTTTATTTACCTATGCAATAGCACACAAAGTTTTCCTTGTTTAACAGGCGCTCCTGTTCTCCAAGTTCAAGTTAAAGCATAATGTTTTGGATAAAGGGAAGAACCAATTTCCTTCTAGGAGTTAATCAATATGTAATCAAAATGTTTCTCTTGCAGTGTGACTGGTGTTCATCTTTTCCTTTCCATTTCATTCCCCTTTTTTCTTTTAATACTGGTAATCTTGGATGGTAGACACTTGTGCTTTGATTTCTTTTTTAAGTTCCTTAAGTAAAATTTAAGTTCCTTCTAGTAAATTTTTCAAACAGTCTCAAAAACAATGTCTACCATCTTGGCATATAATGATAGATCTACAGACATTGGATCTTCACTGTTCATTTCCAAACTTATCCTAAGTAATAGACAAACTTTGTTATCCTATCTTAGTCCACTCAGACTGCCATAACAGAATATCATAGGCAGGGTGACTTAAAAACAATGGAAACTTATTTTTCACAGTTCTGAAGGCTGAGAAGTCCAAGATCAAAGGGGTTGGCGGATTCGGTGCCTGGTGAGGGTCTGCTTCCTGGTTTATAGGCAGCTGTCTTCTCACTGTGTCCTCACACAGAGTAAGAGCTGAGAGATCTCCCTAGAGCCTGTTATAAGGGCACTAATCCCTTTCACGAGGGCTCCACCCTCATGACCTAATCACCTCCCAAAGGCCCCATCACTACAACCATCACATTGCCAATTAGGTATCAACATATGAATTTTAGGGGGCAGCACAAACGGTTAGACTATACAGTGTATCTGATTAAATTTGAACATGGAATCTATCAGTCTGGGGGTATTTTTTATGTATTGCTTCAACTGGAGTAAGAAAAGACAACGTTTTGTCGATGATGGCACTTTAACCCAGCCCTGCCCCTCTCTGTCTGCTCCTCTTCCTGGTGACCCTGTGGCCCCTTCTAAAGGGAGCCTGTGCTGAACTTTAGAGTTTACAGCCCCTCAGGCTCAGAGCTTGCCAAGGCCTATACAACATGAAGCCTTTCCAATAGTATTTTTTTTTTTTGCCTCATGACATAAGAATAATTCTTTCCTCCTCTACTCACAAAACTCTCTGTTGCAAGAACCCCATATAAGAACTGCTTGTATATCACTCCTCCCAGGTAAGATACTTGAATTTTACTTGGAATCTAGAAGAAAGACTAAATCCTCAGAAATCCATCTATTTTGAGGATGTCAGCATGACAAAACAGGTAACATCTGGGGAAGAAAGAAAGGTTACTACAGCGATCCTCAAGTCACTGTATAAATTACAAAAGTTACTTTATAAATTACATTTAGGTTTCCTGAAGCACTTTCATATGAATTAGTGCATTTGGGACTGACAATAATTTGTAGTGGCAAGTAAAGGAACTTTTAGAATCACTTTCACTTCTTTTATATGTATTTTTATTGTGTTTTAGGTTTTGTGGTACATGTGAAGAACATGCAGGATTGTTGTACAGGTACTTTTACTTCTATAGCACAGAAAGGTTAAATGATTAAGCAAGATGGGCCAGCTCGTTATTGGAATTAGGACTACAGGTCCTATTTAAAATAAAACTACAGGTCCTCACACTATAAAGCTTGGACTCAAGTAGATTATGAGAGATCAACTCAAATCTCACAAGTAGTAGAGAAATTTAAACCAAAGGGAGGCCTTGGTTTGAATTGTTTATTCATTTGAACCTTGTAGATAATAAATAAAAGGTCCAGGAATTATATTTCCAAATAATGAACTATCATGATTTTCTTCAAGTGTGTTGCACAATCTCTAACTGCATCATGTGAGTTCATCGAGAAAATATTTACATCATCTCTGTGGTGTCCTCAACTCTCTTGCAGGTATGAGTGAAGCGCTCAGCTCTGCAAGATGGTCCTGGAATATCTTCACTGCTTTTCACAATTTTCTCCTCTTGCATTCCCACTGATCCTTCAGAATGTGTGGCCTTTTAACTTTCTAAAAGGCTTTCAGTGTCTCTTAATTCAAATTCTCCACATGCAGATACATTCAGATCACCTTATAATTTAATCTTTGAGCAAAACTGTAAATCATCATTGCCCAGGATATTACAATCATGGGGGGAAAGGTGTTTGGTATCGCATCGAACTGCTTCCAAAACTTGGAGTGTCTCTGGACACAGTCAATATCCAGACCTTAAATATGCATTTATTTAGTTTATTATAAGGACTGCCTTTGTATTCACTGCAATCATTTTCTACTGTTTCTTCCTTGGTCTAATTATTTCTTCCCTTCCCCTCCATTGTATTTTAGAGTAATTCTATATTCTGTTTTGAATACATACTTTTCTTTCTTTTAAAATAAATGTTTTGTGTATATTTCAGTTTTACAGCCTAATGTTACTGAATATATATATATACACACACACATATTATATATATATACAGAGAGATAGTACATATATGCATATGTATACATACCTATATGCAGAGACAGATAATACAATGATTACTATAGTGAGGCAGATTGACTTGTTTGTCACCTCACATAGTTGCTTTTTTATGTGTAATAAGAACACCTGATATCTACTTATTTAACAAAAATTCTTAATACAATATGAAAATTCTTAAATAAATTAAAAATAGAGCTGTGTTATGACCCACCCATCCCTCTTCTGGGTCTACATCCAAAGAAAATAAAATCACTACCTTGCAAAGATCTCTGCACCACCATGTTCACTGAAGCATTATTCACAATAACTAAGCTATGGAAACAACCCAGGTATTTGCCAACCAATGGACAAATGGATGAAAGCATTGGTGTATATATAGGTGTGTGTGTGTGTGTGTGTGTGTTGTATGTGTAGTGGAATATTATTCAGCCTTAAAAAAGGAGACAGTCCTGCCTTTTGGCACAACATGGATGGAGCTGGGGACATTATGCTAAGTGAAATAAGCCAGACACTTACACACATTTTTTTAAAAAAATGGACCACCTATTTTCCTAACTTGTCTCTGAGCCAAAAATTCTTCAGCAGTCTTCACTGCTTAGAAAATGAAGCCCTCAATACTTAGCTTCTCATTAGGTAGAGTTGATTCTCACAATTCATTGTAGATGTGTTTAAAAAGTCACCACAAACACTGAATTAGTGAATAGTGATCCATTGTTCCTAGAAGAAATATGGGGTTAGCTTCCTATGAAACTAACAGCATTTTTTGTCAATGAAACAACATAAAACCTTGCTTTATGTGTGTTTCCCTGTAAATATACCTATTTTATATATACTGATTCATTAACATTAAACTCATGGCAATCAACCTGACAGCTATGTTTGAATGAAGCACCTGGCATGTATTTTCTTCATAGGGCACATTGTAGCCTCTTGCCTGAGGACCACTGGAGAGCACTCAACACTACCAGTGCTCTGAAACCATTCTAAACAGCACACCACCAACAAAAAGCCCAAAAAGGAAAGAACCAAGGCAGCATTAAATACATTGCTAAAAGGACACTCATTTACACCAGAGAGCTGAAAGAAGGCAGAGTGCCATGTTGTTCTATGCCAATTGGAAGGAGTGCAACAGAGGTGGAGTGGGTTGAACACGTTCATAAATCGTGGTGTAAGCATTGCAACGGCATTGATTGTGGGGTTACAAATAGATATTAGGGAGAAGGTGAATTTGCAAATGTAGACTCCTTGAATAATGAGGATCAATGGAATTTATGCTGCGAAGTTAATTCCACTTTCATCCACACTAAAAAATAAGCCATGTTCTATGCAGAACAGAGGCTTGGGTAGTTCCAAGGCTCACCTTTTATTCTCCCAATCCCATAACTCTTTTTTACTTTATACCTTTGGTTTGAAACCACTCCTGTATTTGTTCCTTCATATAGCTTTCTGTGGTTGAAATCAGTAATTTCTCCTCTGCAAAAGCACTGGAGAGAGATCACCGTCATAGAAGATGCCACATTCTCTCCCAGTTAAGGATTATCTTTATTCAAATATGACCCATGCACCCCTCACCTGTATCCTAGAAATTTAAGCTAAAACTCCACGGAAGTAAAAACCATCTCTTATATTTCTTTACA